ACGTGTTACCGGCGTCACGTGACTTCCGCTGTCGTAACATAATGAAGACTTTAATTAATAAATGCTCTTGTTAGTCCACGTGCTCCCATTTGTAAGTTTACCTAAGTAAAAGTGAAACCACTAAGTAAAAATACTTCCAAGGTAAATTAATAGATAATCACCTTAAAGCAAAATACACTAAAACTGTGAAATTCAATTCACAACTTGGATTTCACTAACAAAATAACTTTAATCAAAAACGGCTCTATCAATCTGCGAGAAAGTAAAACGAGTCTAAACTCTTCGTTTGAGAAAGGTGAATGACTAACACTGCACGAGGACTTCAAGAATTCTTCTTAAGTAAAAAAGAAAAAAATATATTAATATGTAAAATTCATAATGAAGAGTTATTGTTTTCTTATAAGATCAGCTGCTGGCTAATGAGCTGATTCACCAACATGGACAACTCACTTCACTAATTAAAACCAATATAGTTATTCCTGCAAGAGAAATAGATCAGCAGGTTTTGGCCTTTACTTAAGTTAGTTAGCCATTGAAAGAAAATGAAAGCTAGCTGTTAGTTACTCGCTTGAGTGCCTCCATACATCCAATTTGGGAACTAGGAAAACACACAGACAATTTTGAAATTTTTAGTTTTTAAATAAAACCCTTAAGCAAAAAAATATCATATAAATTACAAACATTTGTAACAAATATAGTAAATTAAACAAACTTTGCAATTAAAACTATGGAGAACCATAGCTTGATAAGAGAAATTTTGTGTGTGTGACACTATGAGCAAAACTTAAATCTAACCTTTTGCCTAAGCATATATACACTGTAAACAATATAAATTCAACACTGGACTTTTACTACATATATGTATATGTATGTATATATAATTAAATATAATTCTATGGAAAAAGAAACAATAATAAAAAACATCAAAAAATAAATAAGTAATAATTTTTTGTATCTATTTATTTATTTTTCATATTTATTATTATTATTTCTTTTTCCATAAAATTACAATTACTTATATTTCATCTGAGATTTGGATATACTGCGTAAATTTTGCGCTATTCTTCCTTTTGATGTATTTTTAAATTTTAATTTTAAGCTTTCTCCTATACATATATATATATATATACTAATTTTATTCACAATGTACAATTCAGTTGGAAAAATAGAGCAACTTACCTAAAGGAATCACGACAGCAAGTTCTCAACCCATCTCCTTGATTCTCACAAAAGCTTTTTCAAGTTCGTGCTTGGTCCTTCTGGAGTTGATGCACCTCTTTCTCTAACTGCATTGGTGACTCTCATTGCCTTAACAGATGGACTTCCTTGTGGTTATTAAGTGCTCAGGCTTGGCTGTCTGATTTTGACAGCAGAGCTTTATAATCGTCATCTGCTGTTTTATCTCAAGCAGGTCTTTATATGAAACAACACTTTGTCCAACATATCCCCAGGAGCTGTGGTTGGTAGAGTGGTGGAAGGGGATGACCTGGTGCTGAATTGCTAGAAATTGCTACCATAGCTGAGTTGGGCTTCGTCAGTGTAGGGTTATGAACTTCATCTTAGATAGGCAAAGTCAGGATTTAAAGTACAGGGTCAAACAAACTCTAATTGGTCAGATGAACTTGGTCATGAGTGTGGGTTAAAACTGTAATGTTTTCGTTCCAAAAATATACCAAAAATAAAACTTTGGGGTCGAGTTCTCTGTATATGGTCTATGTGTGCTCACTCATATCCAGCCCATAACATAAGCCCCACTACTTGCAGACTTAGGTATACTTGGATCACAATTTTGAACATAACCTTAGTTGTCTTAAACTACATTCCATCCACTACCATCTAATTGTTAACTAATAGAGTTCATGAGGAAAGAAAACAGGAAGTGAGAGTGTCCAAACTAATGACTGATATAGATCAAACATCACTCTGATGTTAACCTGATTTCACCAACTTTGAGAATTTCTTATCACCTATGGCTCCTCTCCATATTAAATATAAACAGCCTATGACAAGAATAGCCACCTATCATGGAAAGGTCATATCTCGCTCCTGGCATCACAGCCTAAATTTTCATGCATTACTAGGCTTGTACTGGTATATGTTAAGAGTGTATCCAGAAAACAGGGTTCTTAAAAATATTCCAATCTACTGATCAAAAACATTTCTGCATAACAAATATAATATTGAGTTGACCCAAGTTTAAATTCATCATATCCTGACATACCATTTACAAACTTTGCTTTGAAAGACAGTTTCACGTAATCGTTTGCATTTTGGTACTGCATGACTAAAACACAAGTCACCAACACTCACAAAACACAGTACAACCTGTTGTTACGACAGCGAAAGTCACGTGACGCTAGTAACACGTCATGAGATTCTAGAAAGATCATGTCCGTTCGTGAAGCCTCGAGTG